TTATCAGAAGCAAGGTTTCAGTGCAGAGCACCTGTAACGCTATAGCCACATAGCGGTCCCTCCAATTACAGCATTGATATAAAGATGACATTTGCAATTTAATTTATTGTTCAGGCCTTTTTTGGTCACCTGCATGCCTGAACCATATAAAACTGTTAGAAAAATGACTATTTCATGTACAGTCTTTAAACAATAATCAATTTAACCAGCTGGTACAACTTATTAGCCTCGTGAGACCATCCTGATCTCGCGAGCTTTCAAGGTTTCACTCACAGATCAGTCTGGAGACTCTCCGTTAAAGAACATTTGGAGCAGTTCACCAAACGAACGTCCAATTAGCGTTGGCTTTGAGGCGGGTTGAGGTGTGACGCAACGAGAAGCGTGACAGTTCAGTCTAAAGAACATGGCGGCTTCAGCCGATGAAACTAGCGTTAGCGTGGCTATCGAGCAAGTTTTATCGGAATTACAGAGTATTTCTTCGCTGAAAGAAGAGCAAAACACTGCTCTGGGGTTTTTCTCAGAGGAAAAGATGTTTTTGCGATTCTCCCGACTGGTTTCGGCAAGAGTAGCCTGGCTTGTGGTTGTGTTTTCGTCGTCGCTCTGTTAGTACGTCATATGCTTCGTTGATCTGATTGGTTTATTTGGCCCGTCTATCACCAACATAGGCCAATCAGCTAACCAGTATTTTTGCCCCTTCCCAAAATTACTTCAATGGAAGGTTTCCAGATGGATATGCGGAGCAAATCCATCTGGCGGAGTCAGGTTAACAACTTATGTGATAAATATACTAGATGTAGACCATTTGGAACACAAAAAATCAAAAACTAGGAAATAAAAGTTCAAGCATTTCCTTTACCTCTTTATCTGTCTTTATATTTCTAAGAGATTTGCATTGATTATGGATTCTATATATAATTCAAGAAAACAATGTTTTAATGTTTAGTTTTTTTTTAAAAGTTGCAGTTGACAAATTAAGAAAACATATTTGATCTTTGAACTGTTACATACTTTTTCAAATACATTTTAGAAATACTCCACCTTCAACTAAAAACACATAACAAAACAAAGGCATTAACGAGGAATGCATTCAGGACATCCACTCTTATAATTACTGTCATGCATCATAACCACACACTTTAAAGTCAAAGTAGGGATCAGCCAGGTTTAAAGAGTGCTTATTAATAATTATTAATAATTCAAATCATAGAAGTCAGCTTATAGGCGTGTTGTAAACTTGGCACATTGTTTTACTGCTCTGCTCCAGGAATATATCTGATCAGCATTCGAGCTGTCAGCTTTTTCTCCACCTTATCCACCATCTTCCTAGTTTCTGTTTTTTTTTTTTTTAGGTCCATATTTGTGTAGCTTGTCAGGCTGAGAGGGTTACAGAGCTGGTAAAGCAAGAGCTTAAGTCTTTTCTCATCTTTCTGTCATCGTCTGCAAATTTCAAATATGACACGCCCTCCTGTCGGATATCCTCTTTTTCTGACTCACTGTGTTTATGTTTTTAAGTCGCATGCTTTTTTGTTGTTTTTATACACAGCATGACATCATAAGTTGTCCTGTTGGGCATTGCTCTCCAAACACAAAAATTTGCCACCCATTTAAGTCTTGTTTTTCATCTCCTGTTTATATTTACCTTGTGTCCTGCAAAGTTAAAGGAATGAGCGTTTTGAGCAAGTTTTTTTCACACAAACCCACATAGATAGATTTACTCAGGAATTTTAGCTGTCAAAGTTTTCTAGCTGGTTCAACCTGTTGGTCTCAAGTTGGGGATTATCCACAGCTTTGAAATTGTAGCTGTTCCCATGATGGGTTGGATGTTTGTAGACTGTTGCCATTACGGACAGTAGCTGCTTTTTGGACCCAGTTTTACATCTGAAATCAGGCGAGCCCATCCTCACGTCGTCTAAGAAGCCTGTGGCTGCAGCCATGTTTGTGCTGCTTGGCTGAATTTACTGAATGGCCCGTCCTGGTTCTATGTGTGTGGGCCAACGTGCTCCTGAGGAATTTGTAAATGCTTTTCTGCTGCATAGTGTTTGGTTTTGTCATTTAATAAACCGCTATGAGAAAAAGTCTCTTTCTGTGTCCCCTTTAGGGTAATAGAAAACGAGTCCATTACTGGAGAATTATTTTATTTCCTTGATATAAGCAAGAGATATTTTTGGAAAAAAATAATCTTTACATGTTTCAGAGCAAAGTCTTCATATCTTAAAGAGTCTATGTATAAGACTCTGACCATTAAAGGAATAGTACACCCAAAACATGATTAGCCCTCATTTTCTACTCACCCCCATGCTGAACAACACTCTGGAGTACTTTTTTGATATCTCAAATGCATCTGTAGATCTGGGAGGCTTCTTGCTGTCTGCTGACATTCAAATAATGGAGGTCTATGGTGCCCGAGGCAGAAAGGTCCATAAAAGTCCACAAAAAACGTGTCAATATTCCTCCACACTGCTCTTCCAATGTATTCCAAGTGTCCTGAGTGGGTAGCGTCCATAATTTACTCGAAACGAAGTCATTTAGAATGTTTTTAGAGCATAAACAGAAGTGTATAGGATTTCCTAAAAGCGCGTTCACGAGTCTACGGAAACCGCGGCAGACCAAACCAGACGAAAGGAATATTGACACGTTTTTTGTGGACTTTTATGGACCTTTCTGCCTCGGGCACCATAGACCTCCATTATTTGAATGTCAGTAGACAGCAAGAAGCCTCCCAGATCTCCAGATGCATTTGAGATATCAAAAAAGTACTCCAGAGTGTTGTTCAGCATGGGGGTGAGTAGAAAATGAAGGCTAATCATGTTTTGGGTGTACTATTCCTTTAAAGGCACACTATGCAACATTTTTCAGTTAATTAATGTGTTCCATAACGTTATGGATGACTAAATGAGTCATTTCAGGTTGAACAAAGGTATTCTCGGCCGCCCTGGTGGTCTGTGGGGGAAATACTGCACTTGCAACTGCAGGAGCACCGACCCGCACCCACAGGCTCAGAAGTCTCGTGAGAGTCAGTCTTGCTTTACGGCGAGAACTGCTACACGCCCCCAGTTAAAAGCATTCTCGTTGCTAGCACAGTGGCAATCTTTGTGCAGTTATGCTACGTTCACGCAGCAAAAGCAGCAAAATCGCGTCTGCTGCTTCATTTTTGCTGCTTGTACCTGTTAGTTCTGACGCGCGGCTGAAGCAGCTTTGCTGCTCTGGCTGCGCGGTGCAAAAGTGTGTCTGACGCGCGTTGGGCGGAGCTTCACTATCCTTTCTCTGCCTTGCAGCTATATTTGCTGTGATCAGTGGGAATAAAGTAGTTTTAATATGTGTTTAAGTGAGAAAATACACCTGAAAACGTAATCAGTGCAGTCAGTTCATCCAGATTACAATCCTGCCTCCCAATGTTATTTCTGTCGGAGCCGCTCAGACCCCCACATACCAGCGGTGCGCCGACAGAAGGGATCCCTTCATCAGCAGCCTCTGGCCGGGTTGCCTCCTCGCGGTTCACCACGGCAGCTGGTAGGTGTTTTTCATCTAAATAATCCAAACTGCATATTCTGCCGGCAGATTTCTGCATTTTAAGTTAATTTAGGCGTCAATAAACTGTTTAAGAGGAGTTATCATCAGCGCCGTGTCTCTCTCCCTGCGTCAGATTAGCCCAACGCCCGACGCGCTGCTTCAGCTGTTCAGACGTGCTGCGCCTGCTGCTCAAAACGCGCCGCGGGACCTTTTGCTGCGCCTTGACGCGCGTCAACCATTGACTTTGCATGTAAACTCGCTGCTTCTGTCGCGCCAGCTACGTCCGGTGTGAACGCAGCATTAGTCATTCGCTGCTAAGCTCAAAACAATCGCGCCTGGCTTGACGGAGAAACCAGGAGAACAGCTGTGCATATTTACGACAGTGCACTTTTACTTTTGCCCTCTGGGGGGAGCCTCGCTGGAAAATCAACACCGGTTGCATAGTGTACCTTTAACTGGCTGAAACAGTGGGTGGAAAGTAAATATTATGTCAGTTTGTGTTGAAGTGTCAATATGAGTAGATGACTGGTTTTTCTGTTAGTATCTCAAGAACCGCTGCCTTTCTGGAGCACGCAGGCCGGCACGGTCAGAACCAATCAAAATGCTTCAAAAAAAGACAGAGGAACAGAGAACAGGGTCAGAGGTGTCTAAAAGTTCACTGGTAAACATGAGGAGCAAATATAGCAGGATACAGCAAAGGCTCAAATTACTTTTCAACTCTATTCTGACATAAAGGTCTTGGCATACACAGTGCATAACAGCTTGTTCAATATAAGGCTCCATCTTGCACAGCAGGCTGGTGAGTCATCATTTCTTTTAAATGCATCACTTAACTGAAAACACACACCACCAGGGTGCATTATGGGAAGAAAGTAAATCAGTGGAGGTGGTCTGCTGAAGGTAACGCCATCAATGTAAATGTTGCTTTGACACAACACCTACTAGAGCAATGTGTGGGATCAAACACTTTCCATGCAACTACAGTACTCCCTGATGGTCCTCAACCTTTCAGCTAGATAATGCATCTCAAACAAATAGTTTTGACATTGTTCGAGGATTTGGTTCCACTACAGAACATTTGAGTCACGGAACTGTTTCTCAAATTCCCAACTTTATTCAATCATGCATCTCAAGGACATGGTGAACAAATGAATCCAAACTATGGAGGCTCCACCTAACAACGTACAGAACTGAAAGGATTTGCTGCTAACTTCTTGGTACCAGAATCCACAGTCTGCCTTTAAGGGTCTTTCTGGCTCAATGCTTTCATGGGTTAGGACTGTTTGATGAGCAAAACAAAGACAAATACACTATTAGATCTGTGTTTATAATTGGATGTTATTTAGCCGAGAGCTTAAATAGCTAAAGTTCGAGAAAGAATAGAGATTTTTTGGAGTTCCTGGACTCAAACAACAGTCATTACTTTAACAAAAAACTGTTGATAGCTCTTCTTGTTTTCTTCTAACCTCCAAATATCTTTCTTCTCTTAGTGCAAGTGACCTCGCCAAGCTGCCGCCATGGCCCTGGTTCAGGCTCTGCCCTTATCTGCTGAGCCCCACACCGCCAGCCACAGCGGAGCTCGCAGACGACACCAGTCTGGCCCTTCACCCCCCATCAACCTGCCACCACCCACTCTGGATCCAATGGGCTCTGTCAGCAGCCTTGCTGCCACACGTCCCAATCCCTACCAGGATCACCGCTCTGCTGTAGAGCTCGGGGGCCGAGTACGACGACCAACGCCGGGGGCTAACCGTTTGGGCTCCGAGTCGCCCAGGGACCCACTGCTGCATAATGTACCACCTCCAAAGAAGCAGAGCTCCACAGCTTCCGGCAGAGGGCTGGAGAAGGACAGCGGGAACGGGAACTATACTTATATAAATGAGGACTATGTGGGGGACTGGAACGACAACCATGTTAGACCTCCGAGCCTGGAAACTGAGCTAGAAGAGACAACAGTAGGCCTGGGGATAAACGGGAATGTGGGGGGACCTCCTCCGAGACTGATCCCAGTGTCAGGAAAACTGGAAAAGGTAAGGAATGATATTATAGGTTGTAATGATCTGTTGACCAAGATTGAAATAAATAAAAACGTTTCTGTTACAGTGGTGAGAACCTTTGACTTTAAAGCTTTAATAAGATAAAATAAAACAATCTCCCTGTGATCTGAGTTTTCTAGACCAGAGAGCTCCCCATTTTGCCCCCTCCCCCACCTGTTGCTCCACACTGCTATTCAGCAGGCTGATAAAAGGCTACCTTTTTACTTCACTTGAAAAAAAAACGTTAATTTTGCATGTTTATATAGTTGTTTTTATTATTATTAATGTAAATTTTTATTAAATTTTATATTATTAATATTGCATGTATATTTTTTATATATAATCCTCTAATTATATGGTGTTGCTTTTATTTTTTGTAATGATTTTTTTTCTGTTTCTGTGCCATTGCGTTGTACTTCTCTTTTTTCCCCCTCATGTACTTCTCTTTCAGTTGTTGTAAAAAGATATTGTTTCTACTCATAAATACTCGCAATCACATCAGTCTCACTGTAAACCCGGACCAAAACTGTAAAGGCATTGGAAAGGGTCAGAACTTGATTATTCTATACAGACAGAAAAAACCCACAAAATGCTGCATGATGGAAAATGTTTCTTGAGGTTGAAACTGAAGCTTTTTAAAACCTTGGCACACCTTGATTCCAGAAATAAGCCCAGGCCTTGTATTCTTTGCTCAGTTCCTGAGTTGTATTTATCTTTGCCTCCCTCCACCTTTTCTGTTTGCTGTTCTAGAACATGGAGAAGACAGTTTTACGCCCCACTGCCTTCAAACCTGTCATTCCCAAGAGTCGCTCCGCCATGCAGTATCTCTCCCCTCGCCATGGTGCCAATGTCCCTGAGGGCCAAAGCAACCTGAACCTGCTCAGTCCTGCCAACAGGGAGGTGTCGCCATCCTGCTCTGAGAAACGCAGCTCCTACAGTGGAGGGCGGAACGCTAGCAGTGGCAGCAGCCAGTCTTGTTGGTTGTCAGACTCTGGTCGCAACTCTCTCTCCAGCCTGCCACCTTACAACGGTGCCACCTACGGTCTCGCTTCTGCTGAGGTCCCTGCAGGTCACCTGGAGCCCATAAAGAGTGTTGCAACGGTCGCCCCACACGGACACTCCAACTCTGACAGCGGCCGCTCGTCTTCCAGTAAGAGCACAGGCTCTGGCTCCATAAGTGGCCGGGGGCAGCTGCTGTCTGACAGCGGCTCTGGTGGACACTCTCCAGGCCTGGTGGAGGGCTATGAAGGTGTGGTGAAGGACCTGGAAGACAAACTAAGGGAGAGGGAGCTGGAACTGCAGCAACTCAAAGACAACCTGGACGACAATGAAGCAGCAATTTGTCAGGTTTGTATAAATCCGACATCTTGCAGTGATGGATTGTAAACTTTGTCCTGGAAAAAGAATTAAAATATAATAATTTCTCATGTAGGTTTATGAGGAGAAACAGAAACACTTTGAGTTGGAATTGGAGGAGCTGAGGCAGAGCTGTGCCACCAGGATGCAGGCCGCGTCTCAGAAGGCTCAGCGAGCTCAACAGGTGCTTCAGCTGCAGGTCAGAATGTCTGTGGAAAACCGCAGATTTTCTCTCTGTGTAGTTTATACTACAAGCACAAACCCCCCCAAAAAGAGAACAAAACTATGTAATAAAAAAGTACAAAACTCTACTTAAACTTCTTCTTTGAAGCAACACTGGCGTTAAAACTCAAAGGTGGCCTTTTACCAACAGCTAAGCTGGTTAAAATAACTGTAAAGCTACTAGGGAAAAAAATTCTTATTCAGGTTAATTTCTAGTGTTCTAATTTTCTTAAAAAGGTTTTTTTCCCTTCTAATAATCATTTGATGCTAACTGCATTTCAGTGTTTAACTCTGTCCAAACCGTTGCTTTATAATTGCTAAACTTTAGCTCATCCACATTCATTGATACTTTAGAGACAAGTAATCTTAGTAAATCTAAAAAGAAACTAAATTAATTCTGATTTAATGTACCAGTGTCCTGTCAGAAGAGCATACGCTTTCAGATTGGCATACAACTAGTTTTTATCTAACTTAAATCAATTCAGAGCCACAATATAAACCACAGCCAATGTTTTCTCATTTTAAACATGAAAACAAAAATCAAACCAAATTTAAATTCCCGCACACACGTTTTTTTTTTTTTTTTTTATACTAAAGTAACTTCTTTTAAATTAACATTGACTAACATGGTTTTAGCTATAGAGGCTTCATCTCTCAACATCCCACAAACTTCAGTCATGTCTGGCCGTTTCTGCTTCCAAGAAATAACAGCCTAGTCAAAGCTGATTTTCTTCGTTTAAAGTTAAAATAAGCGTGTTTATGCTGGACGGTACACTGCTGCTAAAATTGAATGTGGGAATAATTCTCTGTTGCGCATACGTAGTAGAACAATGTATGCCGAACTAACAGCGTATGCTGTTCTGACAGAACACCTGAGCTACTCTAGGAATGTATTGACATTTATTTTGGTTTGCTTATAAGTATTTGCCCTGTGTGTAAAAAATGCAAACTTTAGCGTCCTAAAGGAAAGACAAGGGTTTCAGTTTGGGAGGTATGAGGCAACTCTTTAAAAAAAACCTTAAACTAAATTATTTTTTATTGTTTTTATTTTTAATTTTTAGTTTACTCTATGCTTCAACTTATAAAGCCATTTAAAGACTTTTTACTATACATTTCATTAATTTTTTGTCTAAAATATTTAGGGCTGCAACTAACAATTATTTTGCAAATCGATTAATCTGTCAGTAGCCAAAGGTTCCCTAAGAAAGATGTTTTACAAAATTAAACAAGCGAAAACTAAAACTTTCAATTGAGGACTTCTGGATAGAGCATATTGACAAATTAAAAGTTTTTTTTTTTTTATCTTAAATGCAAAATATTTAGATTTATTTTTTATTTTTATTTTGGTATAATTGTTCTCAAGGTGGGTCGCTCTGTTAGCTAAAGGCTCTATGCTTCAGTTAACAATTAATTGATTACTTAATTAGTTGATGATTATTTCAATAATCAATTAATCACGATCAACCCATTTAATTGTTTTAGCCCTAAAATATTTTTTTAATGGTATATTTCATGTTATTTAGGTTTATCAACTCCAGCAGGAAAAGAAGAAGCTGCAGGAGGACTTTGCTCAGCTTTTAAAGGAGAGGGAGCAGCTAGAGGAGCGCTGCACCTCATATGAGCATGAGAAGATCCAGCTGGGGCCTCGACTGGAGGAGACAAAGTGGGAGGTAAACAGATATGTCTCAGTCATATTGAACCGAGGAAATATTAAATTATATTCAGCATCACATGGCGATCTCAATAAACAATCACTGTCAGCTCTTTGTTTAATCTGGCTTTGTCACATGTTAAAGAAATTTAGATAAAAAGGATTTACTTTATATTTAGTAACCTTCAGATTTATTACAACTACTAAGATTTTGTTGAGCTGCCGTAGCATTATCTAACATTAGATAAATCCATCATTTATGTTATATTATAGAATTAATGTAACTGAGCCATTTATATACTGATGGACCATTTGATTTTGTTGCTTGATACCAGTTTCTGCTGTCTTTGAGCATTTTAAAAAATATGTTTTTTATTTTTGTCCTATAACGTCATATTTTAACATTTCATATTGTTAAATGAGATTACAGTGAATGACTACAGCGTTTTTCTCTGACCAAAGTTCAAAGTGTTACTTAGATTTGTGTTTTTATTTTTTTTGAGGAAATATTCCTAAAACAAATGGGTGGAATTTGATAAAAATAGTAAAATAATAGTTAAAAGTTTGTGCAGGATTTTGTTATGAGCATTTTTGGCAGCTTTTCTGGGGCTTTTATTTAGTTTAAATTGATATTAAAACTAAATCATATTGACTGAAATCATGAAATATATCAATGATTGGCCTTAACAACCAACCCTCTTTGTGAGAAGAGAAAAACCATAAAACCATCACTGAACAGAGGGGGAGGATTGCTATTTCAGCTTCCAAGCATTTTCAAATCAGTTATGGAACTCATTCCCAAGAAGTTTTTTTTACTTTTTACGGCACTAGTGGCTTGTTTTTTTCGACAGTAGGCTGACAGGAAAGGGGGTATAAGAGAGAGGGAGAGACATGCGGCAAAGGACCACAGGTCGGATTCAAACCAGGGTCAGCCACGTCAAGGACTAAGGCTTCCGTATATGGGTTGTGCGCGCTAACCACTGCTACACCTGCATGCCAATTCCTAAGAAGTTAAATGAGCACTCCACTTATAAATCAAAAGACCAATCACAGAGCCTATTCACAAAAAAACAGCTCCAACAGTCCAGCGGAACAAAGGGAGGCTGGAATGTGAGTAGGAGGATAGTCCTTCATCCTGTTAAATGCATCTGCGCTCTTACTGGAGTTTACTCGTATGTGAGCCAACTGGACTGACAAAGACTCCTGGATAGGTGTCAAAACGTCCTCAGAAAATTGAGCGAAAGTCCTGTTGCCTTCCAATTAATGCCTGTTTGAGGTCACGCAACCCTACTTAAAGAATCCAGGCTGAAGCAATTGTAAAGCCAGTAGAACCCTACAGGCCAACAAGGGGTGAAGTTTGGAGCTAAACAGAGGCTGTAAGATTTGTTTAAAAGAAAAACAGTTTAAACTAAAAAGGATAAAAAGTTTGCAACTGATAAAAAAAAATACATTTTTAAACTGAAACATTTTTGCAACTAAAAAAATAAAAAGATTTTAAATTTGAAAAGGTTAAAGGTTAATTTTTGCAGCTGCTTTCATAACTTCTCCTCAAAGTGGTGGAAGCCTTTAACCCCACCATCATCAGGAAAACTTTAGATTGTTGGTTTTTAAACCTGACCTTTCTAAGAAAGACTAAACTTCTCAGGTAAATGTGTTTTTGCACCAAAGGCAACATTTCACTCTGTTTTCATGTCTCAGGTATGTCAGAAGTCGGGCGAGATCTCCCTGCTGAAGCAGCAGCTGAAGGAGGTGCAGAGTGAGTTGTCCCAGCGTGTGGGGGAGATCGTCTCGCTGCGCGGTCAGCTCAGAGAAACCCGTGGCGAGCTCACAAACACGCAGGTGCTGCTCCAGGAGGCCCACGGCACGGTCCGCACGCGGACCATGGAGCTGGAAGTGTGTGAAAACGAGCTTCAGCGTCGAAAGAGCGAGTCTGAACTGCTCAGAGAAAAGGTGGGACGCCTGGAGGGAGAGCTGGCTCATCTCAGAGACACCCTGGCCAACCAGGGGGCAGGAAACAGACAGTGTCAGATATTCCAGGAAGCCGAGGAGCATCTACTGGCTTATGAAAGCGACGAGGCAAAGGCCCAGCGACAGAGCGGCGCTGACGCTCTCCAGAACATGAAGGTACAGATGGACGGGTTGAAATCTGAGTTAGCTTTTGAACGCAAGAAGGTGGAACAGCAAGCGGGAGGTTTTGAGGAGGAGCGGCGGATATGGCAGGAGGAGAAGTACAAAGTAATCCGCTACCAAAAGCAACTCCAGGAAAACTACGTGCAGATGTATCGCAGGAACAGAGAGCTGGAGCAGATGCTGCAGGAGCTCAGTCTGGAGCTGGAGAGCAGAGAGGAGGACGAGGGAAGCGGCAACGAGATCAACTTTGATGAGATTGCTGCAACAGAAATCTGATTCTCACAAATGTCCTTTATTTTTATTTGCACTACATTTGACTCACTTCCTTCCCCCGAAGTGATATCTTGTGTTCTTCATGTGAGTAAACACCAGAAGAGCGTCTCCACACTTCCTGTGTGACGATTGTCGCACTTGAGAATTGTTAACCTTTAAATGTCATTAAGTACATCGGTTCTAAGCTCCTCCATCAGTAGCAGTGATTGCACTGACGAGTCGTCGGTCTTGGTGATTTTTCACACCTTTAGGCGTTTGTGTGAGTAACTTCAGTTAACCTTTACCACCACTCTGCACCCTTCCTGGTTCTGGCTACAGCATCCCTGCTGGGTTTATCGTTGCACTCCCACTCTGTCCACAGTTTCACTGCTACAGTAAATACCACACATACATGGTGTCATGGTAAGTTAGTCGATCAGTGTCAGCTTTTAATGTCAGGCTCTGAATGGTGATGGCAGACTTCTGAATTGAAAAAAAATCAGAGTAGGAATTATTATATAAATCCATATTTTGCTTTTCATAAAGAAATCGGTTGAGTTTTTGTAATACGACTGATTTTCTGCCTCATTAAACTTTTTATTGGTTGATATTTTTCAAACTGGGGTTTTGTACAATGGATATGAGCAGTTAGTATCTTATTTTCTTTATTTGGACTTACATTTTCGATAATTTCATTCCTAAAGCCAGTGTGTGCCACTAAAAGGTAAACTTTAATTGGTTTATTTTGTTGGCAAATTAACCCTATTTAAATCCAATACACCTCAGATTTAATTGTTGTATCTAGTTTAGTTTAAATTCTAATTCAGTTTTAAATAAAAAATGGATATCAAAGGGATATTAAACTCTGGGGCAGAGGTCTTCAAAAGGGGGTCCGCAGCCCCCAGTGGCTCCACAGAGGTACTGCATGGGGGTCGCGAACGTTTTGGTTGATTACTTTTTTTTTTTTGATCCCCCCTGCAATTTTTTCCACTAATTGAAATGTCTTTAAATCCACATTAACATGAATTCAACACTCTGTAGTAAACAGATAAATGGAGGCAGATGTCTTTCAGTCATCAATGCACACATTCAGCGACACACAGGAGCTCTTTCAAGCTGGGCACCGTTTCATTCACAACACCTGTCCCATCAACAAGGAATCAGAATCAGAAATACTTTAATAATCCCAGGGAGAAATTACTTGTGTATGTAATAGAGTGACTATAGGATCAGTTTGAGCAAACTAGGGGGTCGTTGCTCCATCTTGCCATCAGTTTGGGGGTCCTTTGCCTGGAAAACGTTGAAGACCCCTGCTCTATGGTATTCTTTTTTTTCTCCCGACCAGTTATTGAAGACTTTATTAGTTGTAGGCTCGAAGTATCTTCTGAACAGAGCTGACCTTCTTTATCATTTTTTGCAGCTTCTTTAAGTTATTTTCACCAATGCTGCCCCATTAGATGGCACAACAGATCACAGTCTCCACAATACACTTAAGGCTGCTATATACTGCCGTGAATGATGTCAGACCTGTCTTTGTTCTTGACACATCGGGGCAGAACTTCTTTCTTGTATTGTGTTCGATAACTGTTGTGAGTTCTGTCAGATTCGAAGGGTGCTAAGTAGGAAAGGCAGGGTTATTTTTTCCTACCCTGTCATTTTCTGTTTGACCCCCTTTTTTTTTTCCAAATATTGAAATCCATGAAATTATCTGTTCTGTAAGAGATAGTTTGAGGATCGGCTGTCAGAGGAGATGAGAAAAGAGGAACATTTGTATTTATGCGAAAACGTCTAGTAATATGAATAATTGCATATTGATCTTAAAATGCTGCTATTGTGTTGCGGTTTTCTTCTGTTTTGACATAAGCTACAGCAGATGGGACGTTTATCCTCTAAGCTTCTTGGGACGTATGAGTGTCCACAGGAAAAACTCCCTTTTTTTTATAGTTCTAGGCACCGCAAGAACAAATTTCTTCACAAATCATTGAGTATACAGCAAGCTTTATATAAGATAATCAACATCCTGTTGCAAAAACCTATTGATCTAAGCTTCGTTCAGAAGTTCGGTCTGCTCTGTCCCCACTTCCAGTCCACGTCTGTTGTCAGGTTGAACACAGAGGTATTTTTACTCCACTTCTTCTTTCATTATGTTAATAGGATTCCATTCCTGTTTCTTCTGAAATGTACAATCATCTTCCTTGTTTTGTTTCCACACCATGCTACAGAGCTCTCCACTTCCTGTACCTGGCTTCAATGAAACCAGATTGTTTGTTTATTTAATGCAAATTGATAAAGAGCTCTAAGAAAGCCTAGCTACCCTCATCAAGTCACTGACTTTGTAGCTATGTATGTATGTGGCAGCAGGAAAGAGCTAGCCTCGTGAGACCATCCTGATCTCGCGAGCTTTCAAGGTTTCGCTCGCAGATCAGTCTGGAGACTCTCCGTTAAAGAAAATTTGGAGCAGTTCACCAAACGAACGTCCAATCAGCGTTGGCTTTGAGGCGGGCTGAGGTGTGACGCAACGAGAAGTTCTAAAAGTTCTAAAGAACATGGCGGCTTCAGTCAATGAAACTAGCGTTAGTATGGCTATCGAGCAAGTTTTATCGGAATTACAGAGTATTTCTTCACTGAAAGAAGAGCAAAACACTGCTCTGGAGGCTTTTCTCAGAGGGAAAGATGTTTTTGCTCTTCTCCCAACTGGTTTCGGCAAGAGTTTGATCTATCAATTGGCTCCTCTTCGTCGTCGCTCTGTTACGTCATATGCTTCGTTGATCTGATTGGTTTATTTGGCCCGTCTATCACCAACATTCGCCCCTTCCCAAAATTACTTCAACGTAAGGTTTCCAGATGGATATGCGGAGCAAATCCATCTGACGGAGTCAGGTTAGGAAAGAGCAACAACTATTAGGAGGAAAAAATAAACTGCAGTAAAACACAATTTGATAAAGCAGCCATATTTCACACTGGCTAGGGACTGAAAAAGGGTGATAGCAGCTCTCACCAAGATAAATGTTTTCCATCTAAAATATGTGGTGAGTTTTTTATTCAAATTTAAAAAAGAGGATATCTACAAATAAAACCTGACTTTTTGTAGGACTGGTTCAGGATGTTACGGTAAGAGATTAGCTGCTTATAACTGTTCAACAAAACCCCTCTTTAGAAAAAAAACAACACTATCTACTACAGCAAATTAATATTGAAGTTCTGGATTAAATTATAAAATCTGTCCTACAGTAAATAATTTTGACACCTTTCATTAAAAAACGCCTCCAGCTTTTCTCTTCTATTAATTACCAACTTAAAATTATTTCAACCCTGGAGTGATGTTAGCTTGATTGCTGTTTTACAGCATTGATTTTAACTTTGAATAACACTGTTACAAACCCCACCAATGCTTGTGGCTCACAAGCCTGGCTGCAGTCTTGCTGCACTTATAATTGTCTGCCTGTTCCCATACATGAAAATATAACCACTGTGAACAGACCAAAGCAATGTCCATATATATTTTCCTCCTACAGTTACAAAGCTTGGTTTAAACTTTGTGTGAATATTTGTTTGTTCCTCAGTATAACTTTTATAAATCTTCAATATTTGTATGAAGACATTAAATGTATATTTTCATGCTGTACATTTCTTGAACAAAACCAGTACGGTTTAATTAAAACAATATTTGAAATCAGGTTTTAATATTGTATTATTTTTTTATTCAGCTTCTGCATTTATTTATTTTTTTTACAGTTTTTACTTAAAACTGTCACCAGCCTGGTCTGGTTCTGCTTTGAGAACATCATATTTGCTGCATGTCTTGTTCTCAGCGTTGTTTATATGGCTCAGATCTGCCCTCTGCGGGTTCAAAAAGGCTAAGACATGTTGTGAAAGACAAAAGGCACCTAAATTACTTTAAACTGAACAGAAATCACATTGTTTTTGACTATAAATATTTTTTTAAAATCCTTTAGATCAATTTAGGTCCAAATTGGAACAAACCCAAACAAGTTTTAGGGATTCTTTTCCTCTCAATATTGAACACCTTTTGTTGTTTGTTATTGAAGTTGTTTGTTTCCCAACCCAGCGGCAACCCAACCCTCAGTTTTTTTATCTTAAGGCTTGTCTTTTAAAAGGTTTTTGGGAACCTTGACCACAAACACCATGGGGTCTTTGGCCTTGTTGCTGAAGGCTTTGCGAATGATGTCCACGGCGTGCAGGTGAGTCATTCCTTGAAGGGAAACGCCGTCCACAGACACCAGTTCAAATCCAGCCTGAAACAAAGTGAACGGTTTTCAGATCTATGCATATATTTCATTACATGCAACAACTTTTTATACCAGTCAGTCACATAGGGTAACAAATGCATTCATCTAAAGGAGTGTTTTTCAACTCTGGTCCTCAAGGCACCCTGCTCTGCATGTTTTTGATGTTTCTGAGCTTCAGCACACCTGATTAAGATGATTGCTGTTCAGCAAAGCCTGATAATCTGCTATCAATTGATAACAGGTGTGTGGAAAGAGGGAAACATCTAAAACATGGAGGGCAGTGTGCCTTGAGGACCAGGGTTGAAAAACACTGATCTAAAGATAATTGAGAGAATGCCTTAAAGTTCAAAGTGATCACCAGAATTTAAGTGTTTTTAAATATCCTTGAAAGTGGATTTCCAGTTACAACCATTTCCCTGGTTTATGCACAAGGATCAGAGGAAATATCCAGAGAGGATAAATATTCTGACATTGGAGGAAAGTTGGCTGACCTTACAACTAAAAATGGGAAATTGAGTGAACAATTTACAAAATCTCCATAAATGGACAATTACAGATTGGAAATGGTGCCTACATGAATCCATCCTGCCTCGTATCAACTATAAACCCTTTATAGGGCACTCAGTGAAAGACTTTAAATTTCTAATTTTCAAGCAAAGAGTGCACTGCAAAAAAATTCAATCCAACTACGTAATTTTCTTAAAATAAGTGCATTTTTTCTTGAATCGAGCAGGTAAGTGAGACACACTGCAAATGGAATAAGAAAATTTACAATTAAATTAAGGGGGAAAAAATGCAGTCTCATATTTCAAGTGCATAATATCAAATAATCAGATTTTATGCATAAAAATGCTCCTTACACTGGGAGATTTTCTTATTTACCTGCTCAAATTAAGGGCAAAGACACTTATTTTAAGACATTTTCACTAATTTTTAAACACATAAAAAACATGAATATTTTTATGGCAAAAATTGATGTCAATGTAATAAGAAATGCCAACTTGCCCGAATATATTAAGAAAAATAACAAAAGTGGGGGGCTACATTTCTAAGGGGTTTGCAAGTGATCAAAAACAGTAACTTGCCCTACAAAGGGTTAAGACTGACCTAAGGATGAGGGGGATATTTTTACTACTGACTAACCATCATTTAAGCCAGGCATCCCCAAAGTCGGTCCTTGAGGGCCGGCTGTCCTGCAGGCTTTAGAGGTTTCCCTGCTCCAGCACAGCTGATTTCGGTAATAGTTGATAAACAGGCTTTTGCTGAACTGCAATCATCAGAATCAGCTGTCCTACAGCAGAGAAACCTCTAACCTGCAGGACACGGGCCCTCGAGGACCGACTTTGGGGATGGCTGATTTAAGCAATTTACCATTAAGCATCTTCTGATTGCAAGCAAAGCTGAATTGATGCCTAAAATCATTGAAAGGCAGTTCTGATCTGAAAGAGGGTCCAGTCCAGTAGGAATAAGGTTTACCTAATTAGTCAGTGAGTATGCATCTAGAAATATTGAAAAAGGTTCCCAAGATAAAGCTTTTGGTTTATGTAATTTACTAAACCTATAGTAAAAATTTTTTATCATTTAGTCCAAGGGTCTGCAGCCTGCAGTTCTTAATATTGGCCTAAAATTATGTAAAGGAGCAACAAATGTAGTATAATAACAAATACCAGTCTTAGAAACTTTTGAGTATTTTATTGAATTTTCACAATGGAATAGCATTAAAAGAACAAAACATGTTTCTAATCTATTTTTGTTATCATTAGCTTATGCAGTAAATGTTTTTATAAGCTACTTATAGCTTATAAAAACTCTAAATAGATTTTTCCCATTTTTATTTTACTTAAAATCTAAAATGTATGCTTCATTTTTATACAATTTTACGTTTTTTATGTTAACTGCTAAAAAACTAATAAATTGTTATAAATAGTTATAAAATATTTGTGGTTCTAAAGGACTTTTCCATGAGGCTGTTTGAATTGTAAAGGTTTCAGACCCCTGATCTAGTCTTTCATTTTGTATGAGGCTGTAAATTTAAGAAATAAAACATATAAATTTACAGTTAACAATAATCTGGGCATCTTTAGCAGATAAAATGCAGCTTAGAATCTTTTGAAGGACCAAGTTGTACTTTCACAATTATGTGACGTTAATCAATGCTAGATTTATTGGTATCCTAACTAAAAACAGTTATCATTTGCAATACCATAAGATTTGAGAAAAAAACATTTAGTAAATTCAGCTTTGAGTGCACCAACACACATGACTGTAAAGTACACAGGATGGATAATGTCCTAAATGATGGAAAACCAGCTTAAGCTGCCCTTAATTTACCTTGAGAGCGTCACACATGGAGGCGGCTCCTCCAGGAAAGATCTTCTCGATCTTCACCATCGGCTGAATCTTTGACTCAATCCCTCCAGAAATGCTGATTCCTGCAGAAGTTAGTGGCTGAGGTTAGGCACTTTTACAGCAACTGATGTGAAGACATCTCGGAGTAAGTTGGTAATTTCACTGACATAGATATATGCAGACACAATATGGACTTTGTAAAATGTGCGCAAATGTCAAATTAAAATCACGTTTATTTCACCAAATGAAATAATAATAATAAATGAACTTTATTGATCTCATATTGGAGAAATTTACCTCTGCATTTAACCCATCCCTTTGGTAAGGGTTTGTACCCAGAGTGTCAGTCTGTTGGAGTGGGGCTCAAACTCAGAACCTGAGGTTTCCAAGCTCTATACCCTAATTAAAATATTGTTTGAGGTCCAAAGTGAAGTTTCTATTTTTCCATAATATAAAATGTATGAAATAAAAGGTCTGCAGAAGAATCTGCCTGACAATTGTTTATGAACAGGATATTTCTGGTCTTGAATGACCGCCAATCAGGTCTGACTTAAAGCTGTTATAAGGAAAACATGGCGAACAGAAAGCTTTGACGGAGACAGAATGATAATATTTACCTAAAGACTGTTTAGCTTTAGAGATGCTGACAGTTTTCAGTTGATGCTCCTGATCGGTGTCATCTGAGGAAGTCCGGTGGCCGTTGATCTGCTGGTCCTGATTCGTATCAAACACCTGCGACAGCGAGGGTCGAATCCTACGGTTTGCACTCTGCAGAGTGAATATTCCATTCTTACTCCTTTCTGCATTTTTCTCAGTCCTGCCCTGTGAATGGATGTTTCTGAAGAAAGTCCTTCCCCTCTCAGGGTTTGTCTCGTTCTTGTCTGATGAGGAGCGCAGAGAAGACTCATCAAAGTGGACGGAGCGAATAGTATGGATGTCTGTACGGAGGGGAGGTGGAGGGGAGTCACTGCTGTGGGTGAGCAGCCAATTAGGGAGCAAGGGACCTGCAGATTGGGATCTGGGCTCCCTTGGCTCAGGCTTATATCCATCCACAGGAATGTCCAGCAGATGTGAGAAAGGACTGGTGGTCCTTGTTTTACCCCTGGATCCCTGTGAGCCAGTCAGGCTGAGCTTCTCCAGCTCCTCCAGCAGGTGGCTCTCCTTTTCCACCTCCTCCGCACTGTGCAGCTCAAAGCCTCCTCTATAATCTGGCGAGAGAAAGTTTTAAAACTTTACAGATTGCAAAGATCACACCCCAACTTTTAAATTAATCTTCATTTTTCTCTAATGTTGTTAAAAAAAGGAAGTTGAAAGCCAGACAAGGACTTTAAAGCCTCTTAAGAGTTCATTATAAAACAATAAGCAATTGATGAAATGTAAAACTAATGTTTCTTGGAGAGCATCACACTTGAAATCACTGTTTAAAGGAAACGATAGAAATATGCAGGTATAGGTACTGACCTGGGATGGGTGTGATGAGGCGCCGTTTGGGGGCTCTACCAGATATTGGGGAGCGAAGAGGAGGAGTTCTGACTACAATGCAAGCAGAGACGAGAAGAAAATGTCTTAAAAGGCAAACTGCTGGTAAAGACTTGTGTGAATTTAAACTAAAAGACTGTTTATTTTTTCTTAGCTAAAATATAATTGCACATCTGATCCAATTTAACCCTGATTCTGTGTTTTAGGTCATCGTTTGATTGGAAATACCTCGTCTTTTATCTTTTCATAGTTTTCTACCAGGATTGTTCTGCATTAAACTAAACACATATTCATTCAGAACTGATCAGGTTCATGCTCTGCTAAAAAGAAGCATCTCCACAGCATGACGCTGCCATCACTGTGCTTTATGGCTGAAAAAAGTGTGTACAGCTCGACGTGTGATGTTTTGCACCACACAATGGCCTGCATGGTCAATTACTTTTATTCTTCATGCATTTCAGCAAACCAGAAACACGACTTTTTAACTTTCTGCTTTTTGTTCATCAATAAAGACCAAATCTGTGAAATGCATAACACTCCAGTGCAGCTGCTATAGAGTTACAGTCCTCCTGGCCTCTTTGCTTCTACTTAGAGTAATGCATTCTTTGCAACAAGCTGATTTTGATGGATCTCCATATGTTTTTATCTTCTTTGATTGATAGGTTCAAAATATGTTACAATCTTGGGGTTTTGTTTACAGAACTAGAGCTGTGCAGCATATTATCACAATAACAGTATGCTGAAATTTAAAAAGACGACACAGATGTAATATCTGAAGGTAACAATACTTACAAAGATATGCATAATTGCTATTAATAAAATATATTTGGCCAGTTGGATGAACTGTCACTGACAGGGTTATAAATAATCTTATGGATTGAAATTTAAACATGCTTAAAGTCAGAAAGAGGTGAAATTTTTATTTATAAATCTTGATCGCCATTCATACTGTCATTGTGGTTTGCAATAGCTATAATGCAACACCTTTGTTCCTCATATTGTCCTCATATTTATACATCCCCACCCTTCAGTCAGATGTGCTGTTTGTTGACTGATGTTCTCTGAAAACAATCAGGCTCCTTTACACAACAGTTGAATTGCACGGGTAGCTCTTCATATTACAGTAGGCTTTTTTCCCCATATAATAGGGATAATTTTGATCTATAGGAAACGTGGTCTCAAACATCTCAACAGTGCTTACATGCAACTGTTGGTCAATTAAAAATACACACCTGATCGATATTTGAGGATATCGTAGGCTTCTGCTTCAACATTGACCACCATGCTGTTGAAAACACTCAGATCAGATGGTGGAAGCACGAGTCTGATAAACAAAACAGGAAAAACTAGTTACTGCATGGATAGTTTTGGATAATCGTTAAAGTATTACTGTGTGCTCATTAGGGGTGGGTATTGGCAAAGAAGTCATGATTCGATTCGAATCACGATTACCATGCCACGATGCGATTCTATCATGATGCATCACGATACTTCAAATATTGCGATATTTTCACTGAACACTGTAAGAAAAAGCTACAGCCCTTACCAGTTGCTGATTGGCTGGTTATGATCTGGATCGTGTCTTCAATTGATAAATAACTGAAAGCAGCTGAATTCATACATAGCTGTATTTATTGAAACGACTTTTGGAGGTGTTGCCATGAAAACAAATACTGGACAGAAATATTACTATTACTGGTGTGGACACACTGACAAAAACATCTTAGGATTCCTAAAACTTAAAATATCAAAATAAGGATAATCAGTGCCGTTTACATGGCCTCAGTGGTCCTTTAAACCAATGAAATGAAAACATTCAAATGTATATTTCCCCTTTTGCAAATGACGTGCGTCATATCAATTTCGTTTTTACCGTCTTTGTTTTTAAAGCCAAAATGCATCCAAGCATCTGACTTGAAATGTGATGGAGCCACGGGGCAAATTTTCAGTGTCCTCCATGTTTTATTTCATATGACTCGTCGCAGTATCCCGCGGCCGGACATGCTTGTGACACAAAGCAGCGGGCGTCAACACATCCGCAGCGACATCTGCTGGACTGGAAGTTGTATTCCACTTGGTTTGGCTGATGTGCGCCAACCATTAATGTATTTTATTTGTTCATTTTTTTTATTTTTTTTTAATAATCAATTCTTGCCTTCAAGAATCGATGCAGTAGATCACAACAATTAGAATCGCGATGCATCGTCATGATGATTATTTTGCACACCCTTAGTGCTCATCAAGATATCTAACAAGATTAACTTGTTTAAAATTCTGGAGCCCCTAAGTAACGGCACAATGATTCTTTTAACTGCTAATGGTCACAGACATTTTATAGACTAGGACATAAATGTATGTTTTCTTTTAGTATTATTATCAACTGCTGCTTAGGGTTTATCTCCGGTTTTTCTTCCTTACCTGACTTCCCTCAAAAGCAGAAGCTTTTCGGGTCGATCCAGCACAGCCAGCAGGTGGTGGATCAAGTTCTCCACTGACCTCTCTGCTACATACTTGGTGAGGAAAATCAAAGGTTCAGTACCATGTCTTTTTAAGCAATTTCATATTTGTATATATGACAAAGTTACTGTAACATTTATTTACTTTCAGTCTGTAGAAGTAAAGTAAACATTAAAGTGAAGGTTAAACCTATGAAGAACTGTTAATTCAGTTTCTCAGAACAGATATTAAAGCCTAATCCAGAAGCATGTTGTTAGCCAGGGAAAAATATGTAAGAAAAAAAAAGATGAGAAAGCCTATTGAGGATTTCATGGTAGATTCACCAGGACTGCAACTGAAGCAAACAGGGAGGTGTATCCAGGACATGGGCTAAATCTATTGCATTGACTGTATCACAGCTAATTGCCTCTCTCCATATTCAGGTACAACTTTCCTTAAATCAAAAAGTTTTCACCGCTTTAGAATTTCTTCAAAGAGTCTCACCCTTTGGCACGCCGTCATCACAGCAGCCACCTCCTCTTCGCTGAGCAGCCTGCGGGCGATGTCCTCCACCACACCGAGCATCTCTGAGTTTGGCATCGCGCCGACATCTTGTCCTGCTGAGAAAGAGACAGGGTGGTCAAATTTGAAATTGTCTAATGTTTATATCTCATGTGCATGGAACATTTTTCTATTTTGTTTAAAATAAACTTGGCAAAATATAGTAAAAAATAAAGTTTGTAAATTATTGTCCTTACATATTTGTAATTTTTTCACAGGTGAATTTCTTTAATGTGTTCTTGTTATCACTTTAAGTGAAACGTTGAATGTTAACTGCTAATGTTTACTAAAATTAATAGCATTAATAAATTACTTGATGTTGAAGGGATCTTGGATTTCATAATTGCAGACTTAGTAACTGAGTGAGGGCTGTGTGCTGGTGCAGTATGAAGCACTGTTGCATTGTAGAAAGAATGTCCTGAGTTCGATTTGTGGCCCAGGCCCATTCTTTTTGCAAGTAGTTGGCATGTTCTCCCCGTGCACGCGTGAGTTCTCTCAGGGCACTAAGACTTTCTTTGAAAGACATGACTGTTAGGTTAATTGGCATCTCCAAGCTGTCCTTAAATTGTATGAGTGTGAGTGTTAATGGTTAAAGCTGTCTTAGTGGTGACCTGTCCACTGTATAAACAGAATTTCAAACATCTACATTTCTAGAGTCCAAAATGGGACATTTATTGCAGGTATTGATGGGATGAACACAGAAACTATCCATCAATCCATCCATTTTCTGACACGCTTAATCCCAAGCCGGAGTCCCCGGAGAGAACCCACGCATGCTCAGGAAGAACATGTAAATAAACTCCATGCAGAAAGACCTTCTTGCTGCAAGGCAGCAGTGCTACCCACTGCACCACTGAACAGCCCACACAGAAACTAGTTTGTAATTATTTATTAACTTACTGTATCATATAATTTTTGCATTTTTTTTAAATAACCACTGTGTAGTAATGCTGCAAAGTGTAGTAACCACTGCAAAGTGTAGTAATGCTAAAATAAATGAAATATAAGTATTTCAAAGATCGAAAAAAGGTTCTGGAATCAACAGAACTCTAGAACTTTTTGGTGGCCTTCAATATAAAAGGATGTTAAAAGCTATGTTTTAGCCTGTGCAGTGTGTCCCCCATAGGTCGTCTTCAGCCAGTGCCTATCCCTAAATGTCCATGGTCATATATCACCTTGGATTTCGTTACTGGACCATCATCTAAGGGTTTCACCACCATCCTCACTATACCAGCACCCTTGCTATCGCTCACATTCTCCTGGACCTCTGGGGTACAGTCTGTAAAGCCCTCTGAATCAAACCCCTACAGATCCAAGCTACCTCTAACATCATCCCTCAAACCAACCAGAAAGTTCAGCTGACTTGCTGCAGTTCTCCACTTCCAAATTCCTGTTGCTTTTTATAAATAAAACTTTAAAATTCATTGGTTCTCTTCGTGATTCTGCATGTTGGACAAAAGACTTCAAACCAGCATGATTCTACTGTCTTTATTTGTATTTATTTGTTCTGCACTTTTGTCTTTTAATGTTTCTTCTTTAAAATTTTCCTTCTATTATTTATTGGAGTTTCTGAAAACATTTGTAGCTTTTTTGGATAAAAAAAATTAAGATAAGTTTTCTCAGACATCTGAAAGCAAATATGCATTTTTTTTTACAAAACTGCTACAATGATTTTTTTATGCATTCCCAAGTAACTCAATCCAGTTGCATACAAAGGTTTTTTCAGAAAAGTAATTATATAAATAATTAATATAAAGAACAATATTTATTGAACATTTTTCTAAAAGTAAGGAGATTATATACCAACACCCATTTATATGATTTGATTTCTTGTTTAAAACACAAAAAAATCCTTTTATATAATTTAAAATCTGTTGATATGTAAAAATTCTATTTCTGGATGGAGAAACAATATTCTATCTTATGTTTTCTTAAAAAAAGCAAAATTGACCTCTTTTTCCAGACAGCTCTAATTGAAAGTATGAACTAAACAGAACTAGGCAGGTCACTGCTTCCTTACTAAAGAGTGTGAACTTTCAACACCTTCAAAAGGCTTGGCAGAGATATAACTTCCATGCTGCATTAAAAAGGGTAAATAAATGAGGTCTACCTTTGCCTTCTCTGCATGGTGATTTGGAGCGTCCACTAGAAGCGTCTCTCTTGCGTCCTCCTTTAAACAGCAGGTTAACAAAGGTCTTTGAGCGCTGCAGAGTGTTTCTCTCCTTTGACTGCTTTTCTTTCTGCTTCTTCTTGTCTTTCTTCTGATTAATCTCTATGATGGAACATAAAAAATAACTTTTTGCATTTTTTCACATTCGGTTCAACATCAACACAAGTTTAACAATTATAAATATAAATCTGAAGGTGGGAAGATGAATGCTGAATTCTGGATGAAAACCTGTCAGAGACTCTAACAGGCCTGTGTCTGGGGAGGTTCACCTTCCCTTGTAAAGCAACACTGTAGAGGTGAGTCGCAAAAGAAATGCACAGCTGAAAAGGCTGACTTCATACACCTTTGTTTTAAAAAATATAAATATAAAAAATATAACCGCAGATGTTTGGGGGACAGTGATTCGCCTACATGTTATGAATGCTGGCGTACCATAAAGAATAAATTATGAAAAGTTTAGTTTGTGCCTTCAGCTCGTTGCACATAGGAAGACGTTAGTTGGATATAACAAAACGGAATATCTTCAGAACAGCTCCAAATGACACAAAACTAATATGGGTGAGTAGAAAATGATGTAATAACGTAAAATCAAGGGGCCAATGTAAAAAAAAATGGTGTTCCCCTTTAATAATTTCATGGAAAGGGCCTATAGAAGGATAATGTTCAAAACTGTCTCTGAACAGAAATGAGACACCAGGTGGTTCTAAAAGCAAATGATTTAATTTGTGAAAAAAATGTAAAGTAACAAAAGATGCAAAACATTAAGAATCATGAAAGCTGGAATAATCTGTGAATTTGCCTCAAATGTCTACGTAGACTTTTCAAGTTTTTATTTTTATTTTTTTGTTTAATGCAGACTGACCTGCTATGGTGACTTGGCTCTGCGACCTGGTGATTGGTCGACTTGGTCTGCTGAGCGCCAGGAGCACGGCTGTTTTGGCAGACTCCTTCCACCTCCTGCTCTCCTCTCCACGGATCGCCGTGTCTCTGAGAAGCGTGGTCGGTCCCAGACTGCGAGTGGTGTCTGACTCCATTCGCTGAGAGGAAAAATCCGTCTGGATGGCGGTCTCTGTTAGTTCTGACTCTGCCCTACGCATATAGAGTTACATAACCCAATCAGTTTCCTTGTCAATTATCTGATAACTTCCTAATAGTTGATAATATTCCTTAATTTTTTATTATAATTTTTTTATATACTTCATTTTCTGTTTTTCTGCCTAACAGGTAAACTTTTAAAATCTAAAATGTTTAATATTTGTTTTCAATTAAAAAACACCTGTTGATCTGAGCAAATCAATAAATGGCAACAACAACTGAACTTGTTTTACATAAAACTACCAAAAACGTAGGTCCAAAACAATTTGACATCTTATTAAAAGAAGCAAAATTAGTTTTGGTTTACCGCAAGGATCCGGCCTTGACCCCTTTCCAATCTATGTTTATTCTAATGTGTTTACATGCTAATGCTGTGATCATTTTGTTTGAAGTTAAAATGGCCTTTTTAAAATGAGAGTTAGTTTTGCATCACACATTGAATTAGATTTATAGGGGCCACAAAAAAAACCATTTCGGTGTCGTTTTACCAGAGAACCTGCCTCAACGTAGTTGCTATTTTCTTTATAATTTAAACAACATTTTAAATAACTGAACTAAGGATCTTTGGGACCTCCAGAGGTTAAAAAACCTTTTCTAACGTTACATACTTCTGTCTCAGACTTATTTGCATTATTCCTTGATTTTCATGATGTTGTTTGTTGAGTAATGTTTTATGTCAAATCACCAAGCCCTTTTCCTAGTAAATCTGTGTTAACTGTATGATTACAGGTGGACTCCATCTAGAAAGGCGAACAACTTTACTCTTTAAATCAAAACTGTCAAATGAAAAGAATCTAAAAGCTAAAAAAGAGAAAATTTGAGATTTTCGTCAACATGTTAAAGTGAATGTGCCAAGTATTACCGTAGGTCCTCTGTGGAGATGCAAACATCCACCATGTCTGAACCAAACGGCAGGCTGGGAGGGAACATGACCTGAGACAGGCCGCTCAGAGAGCTGACCGGGGTCCCGGATGACAGAGAGGAGGTTGAGGAGTTCGAGTCTGAAGCCTGGTAGGAAGATGGCTGAGCACCGTTGGCCACTGAACAGAAGAGACCATTGGCGGTATGAGAGAGCATACAGCTTTATTCAAAACAACAGCAGTGTGTTTAAAAGAAAAGTTTGAAAGAAAGCATTGAGGGTGCAGCATATTTTGTTTCTATGTAAAACAAAATTAGCTTGAACAACAAAAAAAAAAAAAAAAAAAATAGATTTTAAGCAGAACATAAAGAATTTCCTTGAAATCATTGAACCACTAAGCTCTGCTTCACATCTGTATTGAAATGAGTTGATTCATTAGAGGACAGATGGACCACGTTCTAAAATCCCTACACATTAGAAACCAAGGTATTCGGGCAAACTTTCCTATTGGACTAAGACCCAGACATCAGGCTGGTCATTAGTAAACATTAATCCTGTTTGCAGACGCTGCTTACTTACTGAGCCGTTTAAGGTCACTGTTGTGCTGAAAAATGCATTTCAAGGGTATTTCTTCTGTATTTAATGAAACAGATCCCTTAAGCTTGGTATGCAATCAAAATGTTTGATACCATCTTCGTATGATGCTGGGGCCACCATGAACTGTAGCTTGGATCAGTGTTTCGGGGTTCTCTGACAAACTCTTCAGCCAATCAAATGTTGCACTGTTTCTCTTTAGGAGAGCATATGCATTTTGAATTATAAATATATTGTCATCAAAATGTTTTTTTTTTTTTTTTTTTTTTTTTTTTTTTTTTACAATATGGCATATATTTAGGTTTTTGCCAAAAAGTAAACCCTCTTTGTTCAACCTGGAGGTAATTTACTGGTCAAATCTATCAATCTTGGGTCTTCTTCCAAAACCTTAAATAGTTGTGTCTCTCCCCACCCCCCTCTTATCTTTCTTGTTTTGTTTTACTTTTACAGCATTTTGGATCATTTTAGCCAGGAAAACGAATAATAAGTATTTTATATTTCTTTGTCTTTCCTCCGCTGTTCTAAATAATATCAGAAGAAACCTTATTTATTCTTGATTCTAAGGGCCGGATCTATCAAAGGTTTGCGTGTATAAAAACGTGAGCTATTTCACTGCGCACGCTAAAAAATGTACAAACTGATCTATCACCAGCGTGCTAAAAGGATTTGGTCTTTAAAAAGTGCTAAATAGCGCCTCTTATCCATTTAGTACTTTTTCTGCAATGAATATGCAATATGGGGCGTTTACACGCAAAAGTGCGTCTTGTGGGAGGAGAACATGTAAATATACTAATTTAGCACTCGCAAAGTGATTTATTAAACCTGAAAGCAATTTTGCTAACGGTATCTCACTCTATATTTAACATGTTTCAAAAGAAGGTGCAAATGGTCTGTATGCGTAATTGCGCACACATGGCAGCGGTTATTGTCGCAAGAAGGAGACATCGAAATGAAGCAAGGAGACGCAGAGAACGCATTTTTTCACTCCGTGTGAATATTTTTGCAAGGAAGGAGGAAACGATCATCAAAACATATCGTTTATCCAGCATTGCCATTTTGGAGCTGTTGGGGGAACTCCGAATGGATTTGGAGCCAGCCACAAGGAGGACCCACGCAATACCAGATATCACAAAACTCCTTGCAACATTGCACTTTTTTGCATCAGGGTCATTACAGCGTACGGTTGCAGCGAGAGCTGGGATCTCCCAATCTCGTTTTTTCAGAAGTGCTGTCCGAAGTGCTGTCTGACGGGGTCGGGGTTCTCCCCCTGCACCTGTGGAGCAACATGCCAATGCTGCGGGAAATGCATATGCGCAGTAATCTCATCTACAGTCACTTCTTTTGAGCCATTTGGTATGTGCATTTTTCTACAGGCCAATACAAAACACCTGTTTTTTTTTTGTTTTTTTTACTTACTGCAGTGAAGTAGAAATTCAGCCACATACCACCTTAGGGAATAAAGGTTGCCAAAGTTTTTTCTTTGTATGTATATATATATATATATATATAAATATAAATATAAATATATATATATATATATATATATATATATATATATATATATATATATATATATATATATATATATATATATATATATATATATATATTTTTTTTTTTTTTTTTTTTGTTTTTTTTTTTTTGTTTTTTTTTTGGGGATCACTGTAAGATTTAAATTTCTTAATGCACTAGTTTGTACAAACTACAAACTAGCCTACTTTGCCGCAAACCACAAAACGTGCAAAACCATCATTTAAATAGGGCGTCTCCAACAGTTTTGCACCTGCCACCAGTTACGCAATCACTCTTGTTAAATCACCCGCAAACCATGGTTCAGCCCCTCGCGCAAAATCCCAGTTTGCGAGTGCAAATTACTGCACGCAAAATTGGATCTTGATTAATCCGGCCCTAAGACTGCTATTCACTATTCTCCTTATGATAATAATTTATTTTAAACTATTCAGTCAGAATATATATTTTTTGGAATTCAATATAAAACAGCATTGATTCCAGTTGGTTTTCTAATACTTTAATACACCTACTTTAATAAATTAGTTGTCATCTAGAAAAGAAAAATCTTCTGTAAAAACATGACTGGTGTTTAGTGATGACAGAGTTTTATTACTTTATAAACAGTTTTAAATATGTGTCGATAAGACAGATAAAAATACTTACATTTATTCAACCACCTGTATTCTGCTATCATTTCTTTATAGGCAGGGTACCGTCCTGCTTCCTGTGAAGATAGGAGCACAAATATTCAAATGAAAACTCTGATAAATTTGCTGGACAGCAACATTGAAACCCCAGAAAGAACCTTAGTTTCCCTCCTGACTTTCTAGTAATCTCTGATAGATGGGATGCCCTTTGACTCAACAGAGTTTCAGTTTCTTCAGACCAAGGCATCAAAAGTTTCTTAAAGCACATCGCTAAGCTTTTATAAGCACCTGATCCTGGCTGCTTGGTGAATAATGCACAGCTCTCTGCTTTTTTTGTTCACAGTGTGAAACCCAACCTCTAACGAGCAAGGTGAGCGAGGAATATTATGTCTGCTTTCCAGCTGTCTGCCTCGAACACAGAACAGGCTGGAACGACCACAACAGAGAGGGAAACCTGTCTCCCAGAGAGCGAGTTAAAGAGGAGAGGCGGGCTGCAGGTCAAAGAGCTAGCACCAGAGGTGGAAAGAGTACTAAAAAATTGTAATTGAGTAAAAGTATCTTTACTTTGCATAAATTTTACTCAGACTCAAAGTAAAATTACCCATCTCAACATTAACTCAAGTAAAAGTACAAAATTACTTCATTTAAAATGTAATTTGAGTAAAAGTTACTTAGTTACTTTGAGTTATTTAATGCAAAAAAGGATGAGTCATGAATCGAACTGACTACAAGGTGTTTTAATCAATTTCAAGGCGTATTTCAGTGGACATCCACACTTGCAAAAGATCAGCTGGGCTAAAGAACATACTTCCTCACAGCACAAGGACTGTCAGAACCTAAACCATAAAGTGCAAACAATTTTCAATCCTACTGTCCAACAGACAACACCATGATAGGAATAAAGAAATTTAAACTACATTTGAAAGTTTTCAAAATGCACACAAAATTAAATGCCCAAAAGTTACAAGGAATCAAACTAAAACGCAACAGGATCCCACTTTTATTAACAAGCTCCTCATTTAATGATTTTAAGTGACACTTGTTTTACTTTAATAGTGATTTTTAACTGACACTTGTTTTTACATCAATTGTTTATATGTTTGAATTGTGTAAATAAAGTGCTGTTAAAAGTCCAAAGTCTTCTTCTAGTTTTTAATGGCGATTAAGTGTTGGTTCCATGACACAGGGGTTTACATTTCCGTCCGCATTTAATTTTTTCACCATCAGTATTTTTTTTTTCTTCACTCAGTAACGTGAGGGGGTTTTAAATGTAGCGAAGTATAACTACTTAGGTAAAAATTTACTCGAGTAGAAGTAAAAATTGCATATTTCAAAAACTACTCATAAAAAGTACTACTATTACAGTAACGTGAGTAAATGTAATCAGTTACTTTCCACCCCTGGTTAGCACAAGTCAGCTAGGCTTGGAGGTAATGGAAGAACCAAGCGCTTTCTGTTAACGAAGAGTCAGAGAGGAACCCAAGCCAACTTCTTCAGCTTGTACTTAGTGCTACGGTAAAAAAAAAAAAAACAGCTTTCCATGCAGGCCCCTATCTGACAAATGTTACGCAAGGCCCCGCACGTGTCCAAAGAGAGTACAGGACCTTTCCTCTTAATCATGTCTCTCTGAAAAACTTTAAAACCTCTTTAACTCCTGAAGACGTATTAGGTAAAAAAAAATAAAATGAAAAAATATGGTGATGCTTAAAAGTATAAGGTTCTCGCCTCAAATGATCTTAAAACATACTTTAATTGAACAACAGCAACAGAAAAGAGAACATTTAACTTAGTACTCTGAGCTCTGTGAGTTAAGAAGATGGGCCGCCAAGCCAACCAATGAGCAGAAGTTGACTCTCTTGGACACACCCCCTCCTCATTTGCATAATGAGGTAGAAATGCATAGAGAAATGTAAAAAGGGCAGAGAGAAATGTAAAAAGGGCAGAGAGAAATAAACAGCGGCGAAGAAATAACTAAGGTAAAAAAATACAAAGGAAGAATAAAACAGACAAAAATATTATAACATGCACATAAATAAATACTTAAAAATATAAGTAATTAAAAAATAAAGTTGAAGATTATAAAGGACAGAAAAATAAATAAGGTAAATATTACAAAGGCAAATAAATAAAGAAGCTAATTAAGAGTTATATACATTTATGTCTCACTTTTTTGTTGGCAATTAATTGTATGCTTATACATTTATTGAGCATTTATTTATTTCTGTATTTATTTTTAAATATGGCAGAGTTAGTCCTTCATAATGGAACACATTAATTAACTGAAAAATGTTGCATAGTATGCCTTTAAGAAATGGAAATGTCATGAGAGCTTTATAAAACGAAATTTCAATAAAAGTTGTCTTAGTCTCACATTCTAGGTCTAAGTCTATCTAAGTCTTTCTATAGTATTCTTGAGTCTTTAAGTAAAAGTTAAAGAATATAAACGAATATAAAAAAAGTATTTGATATCTGATTTAAAACCACACTAAGGTCCAGTCTAAAACTCTGATCTAAGAAGGCCTTGATGAAGATAAAAGGTGAAAAAAAAAGCTTCAAGTTGAGCATTTCTGTCGTTTTTCTTAATGAGCTCAAAGTATATTTAAGGTTGGTTTTTTGGTTTTCGTTTTATAAATTCATACACAGAACAAAGCCTAACTATGCAGACAAACTGCATAAAAATAATCATAAAGCCATTTAAAACTAATCATTAAGACCCAATAAGATCCATATAAATCTAAACTGTTGTTTATTTTAATACAGGCTATTTAAAGCGCGGCACAGGTGATCGTCTCCCCTTAAATATACTGGTAGGAATCACATTTTGTCAACTTTAAAGCAAGAAAGCTTTGATCGTTTTTTACATTGCTGGACTTTGCTGTTCCCATACTTCATTTTTTCTTTTTAGCATATATCAATGTTAACATCAAAATTATATCTACCACAAACAGTTTCATTATATTTTTGAGCTTATAGAACCACATCATTTGAACCACAGCTTCATTCTTCTTCTAGTAAAAGTTTTACACACTCTCATACAGGCACAATTTTCACCCCAGGTCAAAACCAGGGTCACAAAATTATATAAAAAAAAAATAACTAGCCAGAAATGTCAGTCTCTGACTGACCTTGTATTCTATATCTTCATCAGTCACAATAATAAATAAACAAATAAATAAATTACATCTTAAAGTTCTATCCTGGAGGATGTGATGTGTCTCAGCTAGGAATGAAGGTAGTTTTAAATTCATTCATGGCAACAAAACTTGGCAGGAATAGTAATTGTTTTTAGTTATTATCAGACTTATGCAACACCTAAAGGTCCAATAACATCCAGTTAAATTTTTTGAATCATCTAATGAAACAACTGACGCAGAATGCCTGAAACAATTCAGGACTTAAAAAAAATAATGCTAACTAAAATATTGAAATGACCCCCTTGGCTCAGCTGAACGTTCCGGGTTATGATAATACATAAACAACAAAAGAGAAAAAGACAATTTGTTACCTTAATGGTGAGCATGATGTGTGTGTGGCTCTTCAGCACCTCCACAGCGCTGCTATGGCTGATTTCCTGAAAGCTTACTCCATTAGCAGCCAGGATCTGGTCTCCGATCTTAATCCCATTCTGCTCGGCCAGACCACCTGGATCCAGTCTGAGATAATACCACAGAAGTGAACAAGAGATTAGAAAGGGTCAAGAACTTTGTAGTTAAGAAATAAAAATATATTTAAGGGTCAGTTTAAACAATTTAATTTTTCCAGGTCAGATGATGCATAAAAATAACTTTTCACTATACTGTACCAGCATTTCTTTTATTGGTTTTATGCCATTTTCAACGCTTGTAAGAAACCAAATTTAATTCTGCTGCAAGCCATACTCCCCACACTAGAAATATCTCTCTCTTCTATGTATTTCTAAATCTTGAAATCTTCTAAATGTATTCAAATAGATCCCATTTTTGATGGTTTTCTGAATTGAGAAGTGCATGCATGCTGTATTTACCCATGTGTACCTTGGCAGGCATGTCTACAATCATTTTTTGCTTCCCATGAAATTCCTTGTAAACACTACTCCTTAGCCTCTATTCCAGGGAATTTTGTACCTACTTGGAGACGTAGATGCCCAGACCAAACTCCTTGCCCCCCCGTATGTTGAACCCGAGGCAGTAATCATCAGACGTGGTGTAAAGGTGGACTATCCTTTGCAGAGCGCTGTCAGAACTGGCTTCTGAAGGGGTTTTTCCGCTCTCCTCCACCACCATCCGCCTATGTATCAGATCCACCCTTAAAATGAACATCACACCCAAATGATTTTATTACCACAGAAAAAAATCAGGAAAGCACATTTTTTTTAAAATACTAGAAATAGTAAAATTCACCAGGTGGTCTTCTCCTTGGAGTAACGGATGCCGGGAACTTTCCCAACTCGTCTCACCACCATCCTCAGCCTGTTGTTGCCTGTCAGGACCTTCACGGCACTGCTCATGGTGATACTTTCCAGGCTGATTCCGTTCACCTCTACCAGCTTATCTCCGACCTGCAGACCTGCCTCCTCTATAAGCAAAAAGGAGAAACAGAATAACGTAACTCACAGCAGGGGGAAACAGAACCGGGTAGCAGCGGTTATTTTCCAGAGAGCACGCTTACCTGCAGTGCTGTTGTCCTCCACTTTACTGACAAAGATGCTGAGGCCATGCTCAGAGCCCCCGCGCACACTGAAGCCAAGCTTCCCGTCCAAACTCTTATCCACCGTGACGGTGTGGAGGTCTTCACAATCATCTCCGCCTAAAACGTAATGAGGTGACAGTTAGATAAAAAAGTGGAATTTTGCTTTAACCTCTTGGCACCCTTTTGAAAAGCTATGGAAAAATCAGTCATCTGATAGTGGAAAGGAGATCATGCAGCTGCAAACCTACAAAGAAATCCATGTAAGAGGCTGAGTTACATAGACCAACAAATTAGACTGTAAGGACACATGAGGTCTTCTGTCGATAGTTAGTCACAAGCTAAGAAGGGGAACATACAGTAGCCCATCTGTTAAATGTGACATCACTTTGACTTTTCTTAAAATGTGTGTTGGCTTGGGCTTCAATCAAAACCTGCCAGAAAATCTGGAGTGTTAAATTGACTTAGCTTTTTCCATAACTAAAAAAGCCCAAAAAATCTTCTTCACAAAGTGTGATTCTGGTCCGCCTGTACTCATGTTACTCCTGGAAGGATGCTAACATTAGCCAACATTAACCAAAGGGATGATTCCAACAATCAGATTCACCTGCGGGCAGTCGGTAAGTGTTGCTGCTTGTGTAACTTATTAAAGAGAACAGTGGCTAAATGTTGCTAATGTTGCATTCACATGAATGTGCATGCATGCCTGTTGCCTTTCTGTACTTCCCTCTATCTCTTTGCTCTCACCATTGATTCTGACATGGGATTTTCCTCTGGAGAACTTATTGTCATATTGATGATAAATGTAACTTGTCTACTTTGTAAGTCACTTTGGATGAAAGGGTCTGCTAAATGCATAAAATGCGTCACAAAAAGAGAAAAGAAGGGGTATTAAAATGGGATTGAATGAGATATATTTTATTTTTCCCACCAGTAAATTAGTATTAAGTAAAAGACAATTACAGAAGGTGTATATATATATATATATATATATATATAGATATGTATATATTATCCTACCCTCATCTGTGGTCATGAGATTTGGGTCATGACCGAAAGAATGAGATCCCGGATACAAGCGGCTGAAATGAGTTTTCTCCGTAGTGTGTCTGGGCTCTCCCTTATAGATAGGGTGAGGAGCTCAGTCATCCGGTGGGGGCTCACAATAGAGCCACTGCTCCTTCACATCGAGAGGAGCCAGTTGAGGTGGCTCGGGCATCTGATTAGGATGCCTCCTGGACGTCTCCCTGGTGAGGTGTTCCAGGCATGTCCCACCGGGAGGAGGCCCAGGGGGAGACCCAGAACACGCTGGAGGAACTATGTTTCTCGGCCGGCCTGGGAACGCCTTGGGATTCCCCCGGAGGAGCTGGCCGAAGTGGCCGGGGAAAGGGACGTCTGGGCCTCCATACTGAAGCTGCTACCCGCGCGACCCGACCCCGGATAAGCGGAAGAAGATAGAGGACTTCTTTAGTCCTAGCCTGCTGAAGAGAGCAAAGTTGCGCCAAAGCAAACTATTAATTCTACTTGAAAATTGGTATAAAACTACAGCTGTAGCCATTCAAAATGACCCTTCACAGTAAAACGCCAGCAGAATGGCAGCCCACTTCCGTTCGACTCCCAGGGAAATCCCCTCTAACTTACAGCCTCTGGGTTGACTCCACCCTTTCACTGAATTACAGGGTCTGACCAGGAGATGACGCTTCTCTTTAGATCTTAATGTCCACAAATCATGACAGAAAGAATATTTTAGTACAAATATTGGTGTTGAAAAAGGAATTGTAGGGTACCAGCCAAGGGCCTATCAAAGAAAGTGGGGACATTTTGAGTGGCTACTACTGCATGAATGCACATCTCTATGAAGATCACATTCAATCTCTGCAACATGGAAGTGGAAGAGCCATGCTTTTCTACAGTCAGGGAATGCTGTTCTTCTTCAGAAGCAGTATTTGGAAGATGAATGCATTTAAATGCTGAATAAAAGTCTGAATAAAAGCCTGTTAGAAGCTGCATGAGAGGAGATTTGCCCTCCAGCATCACAGCGCTCAAAGTAGTACAGTGAGAAGGGAAGGAATAGATCAAAGCACATTACTTTGGGAGAATTGGGTTGAGTCAAGGTCCAAACCTCATTCTAAGAAACACTTTTTGAAAAGACTTTAAAAATTTATGCTTACAGACACTCATCAAGTAAAAAAAAAAAAAAACAGGCTAGAATTTTAACATTGTAGATGTGTTTGGTCAATAGACTAACAAAGACCTCATTTATAATCTTGATTTGTTAAAAGGTTTTTCATACAAGACGTCCCTTTCGTCCTACTTTACACATCATAAGCTACTTTGTGTTGGTATGTCTCATAATATCCTACTGAAATACTTTCACATTTATGGTTAGAAACAACAGAGATATGCTTTGGTGGCGCAGTGGTTAGCGTGCATGACCCATGTATGGAGGCCTTAATCGTTGCTGGGCCGACCTGGGTTCGAATCCAGTTTGTGGTCCTTTCATGCATGTCCTTACCCCTCTCTCATATCCCCTTTCCTGTCAGCCTACTGTCCATAAAAATGAGCTTCTAGTGCTGTTTAAAATAAGAATTAGAATTTGTTATAGAGCAGGTTAATCTGTGTGAATGCTTTTCACACACAGAAAGATTGTAGACCTTTATTAAAGGAGAATTCCGGTTTTTAACACTTTTAGCCCATTTTCTGTAGTGTCCAGGATGAAATCGAATGATCAACACCAAAATTTTGACAATTGGTCCTGTCTCTGCTTTTTGGCTCATGCAGAATCCCCCCCTGGCTGCTTCAGAATGGCTTCCATTGTGCATGTCCGATAATGTCCTTAAAACAACCTTACACATTCTTTTTTTAAAATATGCTACTCACCGGGTCGTCAGCGCTGTTCAATGACGTTCCAAAAAAAGTTTCGTAAAGAAAAAACGTTCCTGTAGTGTTTTATTTAGCATTTTGTAAATCCCATTGAGTTCTGTTGGAATAGTCAATATCCCTCCGCCACCGGAAACGGAAATGGGGCCTGTTTACACTTAGTTGTAGTCTTTTCGCTTCAGCCTGTGTACTCCGACGTCGAGGTGCTAACGTCTCTGTTAAACACTTTAAAAAACTCTGAAAATGGAATACGAAAGGTGGATTCTTGAGGAGGACATATTGGACTTTGAGTTTGACGGTAGAGGATACCGTTTTGAACCGGAATATACTGAGGAGGAGTATATAGAGACATTGTCGCCAACTAGTGGTCTGGAGTGTGCAACGCTTCAGATTCGAACGGGAAGCGGAAGTTTATAAGCGGTTGTGATGTATCGGAAAAAATAGTTCTGGGATTTACAAAATGCTAAATAAAACAAGACAGGAACGTTTTTTTTCACGAAACTTTTTTTGGAACGTCATTGAACAGCGCTGACGACCCGGTGAGTAGCATATTTAAAAAAAAGAACGTTTAAGGTTGTTTTAAGGACATTATCGGACATGCACAATGGAAGCCATTCTGAAGCAGCCAGGGGGGGATTCTGCATGAGCCAAAAAGCAGAGACAGGACCAATTGTCAAAATTTTGGTGTCGATCATTCGATTTCATCCTGGACACTACAGAAAATGGGCTAAAAGTGTTAAAAACCGGAATTCTCCTTTAAAAGGACTGAAGACAGGGTTTATAGGAAATAGTACTTGTTTATTTTAGAAATTTGTACTTCTGTTACTTTGCATGTTGTGATGCTTTTAAATCTGTTATTGCTGTTGCATATTTTTGTAATTTCGTGTGTCTGAGCAGGTCTCTCTTGTAAATAAGACACATAGTTTCAAGGGACTAACCTATATAAATAATTAATTTAAAAATAAAATAAACTAATCCAGACCAAGAATTTAGCAAAGGAATCTTAAATGTTAATTTTCCATATTTCTTATCCAGTATTTTGCCCCGAATATATAGACATTACTTTTTCCTAAGGTTTTATGCATAACAGTAATGGTTTTACCACTTCAGGACACTATTAATGTAAAATTAGGCAGCACTCTGTTTACAGGGGACTGTGTCTTGCAGCTGCTTCCTACCATCCACTGGAGAGTTGATGAGGATGACCCGACCCATAGGCGAGGAGGATCGGATTCCACGGCGACGCTGCTCCTTCTTTCGTAGGAGATTGCGTGTTGCTGTGTGCGAAACTTGTGTCGCTTGGCCCTTTTCCCTGCGGGAGGGATCTGATGAGAAAGCCATGGGGGCCTTTCAAACGCTCTCCACCAGGCAGTCAGCTCCAGGTGGAGGAGTCTAAAGGAGGGCAATTACAGAGCAGGCATTCAACTAGGTCTTAAAATAAAAAACCCATACACTCATTTGGTGGCTTCATTTAGCTCAGTAATTAAATTGAAAATAGGTGAAACTCTGATAGATTGCTTAGTCTGAATTATTTACTTTTGTTTATGATGATCAAATACAGTTTCTCAGAAAATAAGAGAACCTCATAGACAAAATAAGACTAAAATCTGGGCCTGATTGTATGACTGAACACAATATTTTGACAAAAGCATTCCCTCAACTGCCTTGACTTGGATATGAGCTTAAATGGCATCTTATTATTAAAACCTAGGGCTTATTGTGGCAGTGTTCCCATTTGCAGCTGAAACTGTCTTTATTTTTCCAGGGAAGCTGTATACACAGATTAGAAGCATATTTATAGGAACTTAGACCATTCTTTCAGAAGCTTATGTGTCAAGTCATTGACTAATGTAAATGAAAAGAACCCTGGCTCTCAGAGTCACTCCTATTCATTCCAAAGTTGTTCTATTCGATTGAAGTAACTTAAATTGTGCAGGCCAGTCAAGCTCATACACACCAAAAACACCATCCATGTCTTTGTCAACCTTAATGAGTAATGATTTGTCATGTTGGAAGAGGAAAGGGTCATTTACAATGTTTCAAACTAGGGATGTCCCAATCCGATACCGATACTGGATATTAATCTGACATCAAGCTAAAACTAATCTCAGATTATATCAGCCTGACCCTAAAATCTCCAACATAGGCATGCTGATAAAAAAAAAAAACACTCTTGTTGTCTATAGCTTCTGTAACCCACTGGTTAATAACACATGGATCCTTTGTTCTCAAATCTATTGTTCAGTATTGTTTTAATAATATCACTTGATCAAACCTTCTCTAAAATTCCACTCCATAAAATCAGTAATTAAAGCTTGTATGACTCCAGATTTTAATTTTTTAGAGCACCAAGTGAATACTTTTGGCAATACAGTGTACTTTACAGTATATTCAGCCAATACTTAGTTAGGTTTGCTTTCAAATGAGCCAGTTCTACTTTATCAATGCAGCGTCGCATGGAGGTGACAACCATGTGGCTTTTCTCAATTGTTAACAAAGCCTTCTTATTCTAATAACTACCTCAGCACATCTGCATTGTTGGCCCTAATACTCTACTTGACAAATTCTTTACAGATACACCTTATGTTTTTGGGTCAGGACAGTTCACTGACTAATCAAGCATAGAGATACCATTGTCATTAAAGTAGGGGTCATTCCCTTTAAATCTTTATGCAAGTTTCAAAGTTCACAGTGTAATTAAAGAAAGAATCTTCATGGAGCTTCGCAACAGAAAAGAGCAAGAAGGGCTCTACCCTTCACCATCACTGCATACATTTTCCTCTTTAAAATCAGGTTTGATCTGAATACCTCAAAACTGTAAGGATACATAAGCCATGGCAGAAATGCATCAGTCACTTAGTTAGTGCTATGGAAGAAGCTAAGATCAGGAAACACTATGTTTCTTGTGCAAATACAGTTAGCATAGAGACCTGCTATCATCCCAAGCTGCCACTATGAGCTATATAGTTTCCCACACCTCATGGAGTTTGATAAAAATACATTATTTTGTGACATGTACTCTGTCTGATACATGCTAATGTACACGCCTTCATATGTTTTAGGTTTTATAATGCAGAGCTTTAGCTGTTCGTGACATTTTCGAAACTTTTTTTTTTGTCGTTTTTATCCAGAAGGCTGTAGTCCCAATTTTACTAATCATCCATGTGAGTGTTTGCCACATAATGACGTCTATCAGGCTGAAGACTCTCTGAAAGCTCCTTTCATACGCAGGATAGGGTTTTTACTGTTGACCCCGTAAAAGTTGAAGAGATAAGAGCGAGACACTGGAGTAAAATTTGATGTATTTGGATCAAATCTCAGCCAGAAAATTAGGTATTGCGGGTATAAGCTGTACTGAGTATACAAAGCTACTATTGTGTGTCAACAACGCTTCAAGCGACTGTAATTGACAGAAAACAGGGTTTCCAAAATCATCACTGAATGGGACTTCACACTGGTCTACAAAAGACTTGGATTCTGTTTCTCAGTCTTAATCTCTCAAATTTTGATTTCCCTATAAAATACAATATTAAGATAAATATGATAAAGGGACTTTAAACACAGGAGCAATAGTCCAGTCCATTTTCTCTTTAGCTGAGGTAAGACTCTCACCTCTAGAGTCGCTTAACACAAGAAATCCAACTGTCAAATAATTTGCTATTCCTCTCAAAGCAATAGCTATCTCTCATTGCTGTACACTTTTTTTTGTATAATACAATTTATTTTTTCTCTATGAATTTCCTTTAATATGCTTGGAAACAGTGCACTAAAAAGCCAAATTTGAAAGTGATGACCTTTTGTTGCTTGTATTATTTGTTGAACAAATGTAAAGTCATTATTTTTAAAATAATATTTATATTTGTAAATGTGTTTCTAATTGTGATTTTGAGATACTCTGAATCAGCTGGTGTTTTCCTAATCCACAGTACTCACCATAATCACAAAAATAGAAATAAACACTTGAAATGTATCATTATGTGAGGCTAAACTATGTTACTTGACATTCACTTTTAGAATTTAAATAAAATTTTAAAAAACTGAAATGCCTGTTTAGGTGTTTTTGTGGTATTTCGAATCAACTCATGCAGATGGTTTTCTGACATATTTTACTCTTTGGCGTTGTATAGTCGCACTTTGGTCCATTCATCTCCATGTCGCATCGCCCTCACCGGTCTCTACCTCCAGACAGACAAAAAAAAAAAAAAAACATTTACCTGACACACCATCAGTCCTGCTGTCCTCAAGCTTCCTCAGATCACCTCCCATGACAGAGTCTGAGTCAGGGAGGATTTCAACTGCAGCAGGTAAGGTCAGAAATAGGATTTCATCGGGTTATCTAATGCAGACCTGATCCGCTACAGCCAGGAAGTCACATGCTGTCTCCATAGTTACGTGACACTAAACTTAACCCTTGATGAAAGTCTGTCCACATGTCGTCACTTTGGGGTTCCCTTAGCTTTCTCCAGGACCCTGGACAGCGCAGGCTAGAACTACGGCTGTTCCAAAGAAATTTAATTTACTCAAGAATCATTTTAAAGAAAACAAACGAAAGTAGAAAATGAAATAAAAACACACATCTTTGATATTATATATCGGATAAAGCCGATTCAAGTGAACTCTTTCCTGTTCTTTACCAAGCTCCAACTTAAAAAAAAAAAGACAGTTCCTTTAAATAATCTCAGTTGCATAGAGAAACTCAACCCTGTAAATAGCTCACACATCCACGTTCACGTTAGAAAAAGGCTCCAACTAACCTGGCTTTTCTGTCCAACAAAGCGCCACCTTCAGTTGACTTTCATTGGCTGAATCGTTAGAATATAGGGAGGTCTAATTGGATGGAAGGGATAATTGACTGAAGGTACGTCACCTGTTAGTCCGCATTACAACAAAATACATTTAACTCGCATGGGGATAATGCTTAAAGATGTGCATGTTATAACAAGATATGTACTTTGCACATGTAACCCCACCAAATGATTTAACTTTGTCCAATTAACACAACTGCATTTGGAAACTGAATCAAAACTTTTAAATTCGGTTTAGGATGTGGTTTTATATTAGATCAGCACCAATAAAGCAGCATTCCAATTTCAGGAATGCTGGAAATTATTTAAAAGATGCAGGCAATACTACATAAAACTATAGGAGAAAATGAGGTTTAAAAATACACATGTATTCAGCCTTTTTCAGTTCAATAACCTTAAAATCCAGTATGATTATCTGCTTATTGACGTCAGCCAATAAGTATTTTCTTTCAGTAACTGAATACCTTTTTGAAGAAAAAAAAAAAGGTTACAAACTTTACTTCCGTATTATATTTTTAAGTAATGCTAATCGAGTAAAAACCTTGAATTACTTTACTGACCCCCCCCCCAAAAAAAAACATAAAACAGTCCAAGTACCTATAGTTAAACCAAAACAATTTAGCACAAATGGCATTCTGAGCATACTGTGACATTAGGATGTTAATGGTTTAGTATCACACTAAAATTCTTTCCAGCATATGAGAATTAATCTTGAAAGCTTTTCATTAACATAGAAATGTTTGAGGACAGAAACATTTATGCATAGCTTAGACAATTGCTTAGACTGCACCTGTAAATAAATGAGAAAAAAATCCCATGATTTTAACTAAGTCAAGGGAGGCTGTTTAAAAGAACAGTACTTTTGTTACAATTGCTCAAGTTTCAGTCAAGCCTGAAAACTTGCATGGAAAGGTCAAAAGGCATTTTTTCTGCTGCATTTCTGCCGTTTAAAAACAAAAAAACAATATTCTCATTCATTAGAGACCTAAACTTTTAACAACCTTAGAGAAGAAAGTAGCAGCAAAGTCACATCAAGATATTTGGATCTGTGGAGCTTTACAAAAGAACAGAGACAGACCAGAGAATAAAGATATTTTATTTTTCTGAAAGGTCAGTCTCTGGTGCCAAGGTTGCACTGCAGTACAACAGTCATGCAGGAAACTTTGTGTGAAACATCAGGTCTGCTCCTTTTTCTGAGTTTAAAAACAGACCATCATAAATACACCTGAAGCTTTGTGATCAGTCATACAAAATGCACCCTTACGCTCCTGAGACACAAATGTAAAAATGTGCTTTCTAGTTTTACTGTGGTATTTTTCTTGCCGCTTTGAGGACTTCTGAAATGTCCACTTTATCCCCAAACTCCTTCTCTCTGTGCTCCAGTAATATTCCCTGCAGGACAAAAAGAATTTGTTTAAAAGTGAAAATCTCTGATTACATAAATTTTCATAATTTATATTTACCTGCTGCCCTCGTCCAATGACAAACACCCCGCCAAGGACAAACCCTTCCCCTAGAACATTCCCAATGAAGCCCTTTCTAAAGGCCCTCACTCCACTCAGCCAGACTCCCAAACGCATGAACGCCAGGAGCCCCATCCTCCGGAGACGGGGCCCATAAAACCTCCTCTGAAATCAAAACAGCTTTGGTCAGTCATGCACACTTAAATAGATTCATCACAGAATCTCAATAAGCCTGCTGTTTTCAGAATGCTGGTAAAACTAGCTGAATCTGGTCTAGGAAGAGTTCTAATTTTCTTTTATTCCTCCAAGGCAAACGGGCCCCAACAATGAGTCAATTCATAATATAGAAGTGCCTTAACCTTTTCATCCAAGAAAATCTCCCCCTTAAAGTATGGCCTGAAGTTCTGGACCTCGGTCCCGACGTCCTCCTTCACCACAGCGTACAGAGGTACCCCCAGCTTGTCCAGCTGGGGTTTCAGAGAGGACAGCTCTGCAGCCTCCTGTTGGGGAAAAAAAATATTAAAAAATCTGAAATAGAAAATTACATAATTTTATACTTTGCCAATTCTTAAAGAGGTTACATTCGGGTAGAAGTTAATCTTCCAGCAAGAGAAAGGCTTCAACTTCCAACCAGAGCAACAATGAAATGCTTCAGAAAAAAAAGCCTATTACACTGAAAAAAAATAATGCAACCGTTTTTGGCATTGACTTAATCATATTTAGTTACTTTAAAACAATTGTTTCATGTTTCAGCAGGGTAGGACATAAAAAAAAATGTGTTAAAGTAAATAATATGACCAAGTAAATGCCAAAAGCTGTTGCATTATTTTTTTTCACTGTGCTTAAACAATAAGGACATTTCTAACTTCTTTTGGAATGACTATGACCTGGATGACTGAGAATCTTCACCAGCAATAAGGAGGAAACTCAATCATCCAACCACTTTACAAAACTGGAAAAAAAAAAAAAAAATCAAAATCTAAGTGTATTTGATCTTGGATTAAGGAGGTAAAGAATAAAATTTGCCAATTGAACAAGACAATTTACATTTAAAATAAGAAAAAACAATTGCATTGTCTTATTTCAAGTGAGTTTTTATCTAATTATCTTATTTTAAGAATACAAATACTTATTCCATTGGCAAATCCTCTTACCTACTCAAATTAAGAATAAAAACACTTAATTTAAGTCATTCCGTAAAAATTCAAAAAATATCCACTGGACTTGGTTTTCAAGTCCAGTGGATATTTTTTGAATTTTTACGGAATGACTATGACCTGGATGACTGAGAACCTTCATCAGCACTTAATTTAAGAAATCTTTACCTATTTCTAGATTGTTTTTGCAGTGTATGCTGGTGGAGATTCCCAGTCATCCAGGTCATAGTTCTTAAAAAAGAAAAAAAAAAAACAGTCCACTGGACTTGGTTTCCAAGTTTGAAGACGTTTCAAGTGAATTAAAAAAACTTCCTGGATGGGAAGCAAAACGTTTTCAAACTTGGAAACCAAGTCCAGAGGATTGTTTTAATTTTTTTCTTTTTGTGGAATTTGTGTTTTTCTATCACTTCATTTAGTGTGACTAAGGCCTGGTGGAGTGTGTGTTTGTTGCATGAATGAAAATACAAGTGCAAACTGCATAAATAATTTTGCAATGCTTATGTCAGAGTGAACAGTAAATATACTGAACAGATGTTATGTTTACCTCTCTGCACAAAAATCATCCAGGCCGCCGCACCGCCATGACCACCGCTCCAGATTTCTCCCACAGAGTTTTGGCTTTGAACGTTTTTATTTCTGAGGAAACAAATGGGGTTAGAGGGTAAGAGTGGAGCAACAGATTAAAGATCATGTGATCCAGAAGCACAATGGCTTCTTTAAACGCGTCATAATGAGGATAATTTCATTTGTTTCACATTTAAAGGCGCTGATTTACCTCCTTTCATTGTTTTAAGCTCCGTTTCCTCCAAGAACATCAGAGTCGCTTTCAGAGGTGGAGTCAGAAAAAAATCCGTGAAGAAATTAAGAACTCCCGTGACGAGGCCACCCACGGTGGCCACTGCGTCCCCGATCAGCCCCATCGCCATCCTCCTCTATCCTCGCCGCATCTGCCCGATTTCAGCCTGGAAGCGCATTTAAACTCCAGCCCGACCTGATCCTCAGCTGCCTAAAAACCCAGCCCCCTTTCTGTTGGACCCAGATAGCGATCAAAGTTCCTGATTAACAGCAGCTGCGCGCTGATCAGAAGAAAGAGGGGGGAAAAAAACTATATTAGGAAAGAGGCGTCGTTACGCAGCTGATCCTTTTTAGTTCAAAGGTCGTCGAAAAGCTTGGAAAATGCAGCGTCACTCTTTGGAAATATCAGAAGTGACAGCAACCCCCCTTAAAAAACAAACAAACAAAAAGATAAAAAAAAAACACCCAAACATGTTATAAAACAAAAATTATCTATCTATCTATCTATCTATCTATCTATCTATCTATCTATCTATCTATCTATCTATCTATCTATCTATCTATCTATCTATCTATCTATCTATCTATCTATCTATCTATCTATCTAAACTTTTTTAAATTATGAATTTATCTAAATAATGGCCGCTAAACTGCAGAGGTAGCCAGAAAATCCTAACAGGGGTGGCCGGGCAATAACCAATGTACATTGAGGGGTGGCCGAAAGGCACCAGAACCTCAGGGTCAATCTACTGTTCAACAGGAACAAGCACAACATCCATATTTTCTAAATAAAGTCAAACTATCCTTTCCTGCAGCCTTTGCTAAGAAATAGACGCATATATTTAAACATCTATGTTGTGTAAATAAACGGTATAATGGGCAAAATTCTTTCAGGTTTGAGTTCTGGGGCAAACATATTTTATATTGTCATTACCTACTTTTATCAATAATCATTCTGCAAAAACAAACCAAATTTAAATCTACTAATATGCACGTGTAATTAATTTTTTATTTATTATTAAAGTAGTTATTTATCTATGATTTCATTGAAGACTCCTAGATGACTTACAGAGGCACATTATTTTATCTTTACCCCAAATAATTCAAAATTTGGTTTTGAAAAGAGCAAAAATTCTGTATCTATCTTCTTTAAAGCTACAGTGTGTATTACAGGGATATACAGTCAGAAATGTAATATA